GTTACCGACGAAGGGAAAGAAAGAAATGAAAACATTACGAGGGAGATGAATTAGAAAATATCTGATGCCTATCAATCCACCAATCCCTCGTAGGAGGCCTTTACCATAGAATACTGAGGCTGTGAACTTAAATTATATAATTTAAAATGATTCGATTGTAAATCATTTTTATATGTAACAACTCAGATGATAATGGCGGGAAAACTGACAAAAACACTTTTCGCGCCATCTATTATTTACAACACGAACTGCTGCGCTGTCTAGTGTTATTAAATTCTTGACTATTTCTATGTGCCTATTTTTTTCAGTTTGGGATAACATTACAATTTATAACGAGTACAATTTCTCTTTAAAAGTTATTCGAATTACCAATTTATTTTCCCAATGCAACTGACACCATAATCAATAACTGTAAAAAGTTATGGTGATTACGCAAAATACCTTCCCAGTAAGATTTAAACTTCTTTTATAAACTATCTTTGATATTAATTATAAACGGTAATAAAAAGGAATAAAAATATTTAGCACTAATTATGAATAATTTCACGTGACAGAATGGATTTAATTTTATCGTTTATAGGATCCCGCAATCAACAAAATTAAGTCATTTGTAAATTAAATGGAAACAAGATTACTAAAATACAGTTAGCAGTATTTTTGCTTTTTTTTTGTAATTAATAATTCAAGTTGATGATATTTCTGTTCAATTATTGTGAGATCAGGAAGTCAAACACCCTTCCATAACGTGATCATGAACTTTGCGAAGTATTTAAAACGCCAGGACTTAAAGTCAACAATATTTGAAAAAGATTAAAAGTACGAAAAGATTATCGCCACAGTGGGAATCGAACCCCGTTTAGCTTAGTGGTTAAAGCGTCAGGCTGCGAATGCCAAAGCCGTGGGTTCGATTCCCACGGCGACAATCTTTTCGGTACTATTTCTACAAGTTTTAATGTTTAATCTTAAGTGCAGAGATTAGCACTATAAAAAACTTAGCTTTAAAACAAGTTATTAGTTGATGGTGTTGATACATGTCTAATGTGTGCTTTAATACCATTGAACATCTGTTATCAATGTTAAAGAAATGAATCCTTATTTCTGTTGTAGAATTATATAGGATAAAATTTTGTTTATTTCAAGTAACCGAGATCACACATTTTAAAACGATGAGTATTGGCTTCGTTGTTTGGAGAAATTGAGAACACTAATTTGTCACTACTGCCCAATTAGCACGTGCGACGTGTGGTATAAACCAATCAACTGGATCCTCGGATACGTTAGTGACAGGTGACAATGGAATTCATGTTATCTTGGCCATGAACACGTTATTATTACAACGTGCGACTGTTCATTTATCGTTATGGATGGCAAAATATTCACTGACAAATTAATGGTTATACCATTATCCAATAATGTTAACAATAAATATTAATTACAGATATACTAACCAACAAAATACGAAATATTAAAAAAAAATTATGTGAAATATGAAATCAAATTGCGCATGATTTTTTAAATGTATATGGAAATAGGTCAAGACGACTTTCTTCCCCGTTTACAAATACAGACTCAACTGAATAATGGAGGCGACTACTAAAGGCGAAAGTTTTTATGTATGGATGGATGTTTGTTACTCTTTCAAGTAAATACTCCTGAATGGATTTTGATGAAACTACAATAATATAGCTTATACATCAGAATGTTGTATTGTATACATTGTTTGAATGCCTTCAGCCTATTCTACGCAGACGTAGTCGCGGGCAGCATCTAATTGGTTATGAGTGAGACAAGCTATGACAATGCCTTGGACTTAAGATAAGCTATTTATTGTAAAAACAACTAAGTGTACACATTTTCAAAGGTTTTGTAAAAGCTACCCTAATGGGAAGGGCCTATTTTAATGTCGAAACATATAATGAGGTCAAGGATGTGCGGAAATAACTCTTGCTCTGCACTTACAAGTCCCTTACTACTGCTGCTGATTTTATATTTATATAATTTTGACTACCTATATAATTAAAAAAAGCCATTTAAGACCGCTGATTTTCTTGTCGGTTCTTCTCTGGATAGGTCTAGCCCAGTGAACGGGTGGTAATTTTTTGACGTTCAAAAAGAGCTTAAAAGAAGCCTATACGAGTAAAGAAATTTTGGCTTTGAGACGATAATGATATACATAAAAATTATGGCCTGCTATAAGTTTAAGATTGTATTTGTATGCGGAAATTATAACTGAAAACTCACTCTTGCACACATTTCAAAGATGAATAGATCTGGGTGACGGATCCTAGTCTAACATTTCATTTGACCTTTTTAAAACATAAAAAACATTCATTTCTTATAAATCACATTTATTCATTTATTTAATTATCTAGTGTATTAGTAGAAGCATTGTTTTAGCCATACTCATTGTAACAACAAACACACAATTAGACATAAATAGCCAGTTAATTACCGAACATACTTTTAAGTCAAAAGTTCTCCACATGTCTTTATTATAAAATAATAAACAATACTATTGAAGGAGAATAAGAATAAAAGTGTTCCGTTTAGAGTACATTATTTAAGATTTTTAATTATTTTTCTTCTTACGTTTAAAAATCTAAAATAGCACAATTTGGAAGTGAAGGATTTTAATAAAGTATACTTAACCCTTCTTTTTATCATACTGGTAAGCAACCCCCTTATCTCCTTGCTCCATTAAATAGTAAGACAGTTCCTCTACGTACGTAGACAAAGAGAAATAAAAGAAGAAACAGTGATACGTGTGTCAAACGCACGCAACATTTTCTCCGTCTAAGTTGGTCATGGAAGATATTGCTCGAAGTTTTGCATTTCGTTCGGTAGCCAACCTGACCAACTCTCTGCCACGCCTTGCAGCCCCAGGACCTTATTCTTGCAGCCCCAGTGTACTGTAAATCCAGTGGTTACTAAATACCTTTACCCATATAAAAACGAATTCAGCTATGTACAACAAAACGCAAAATAACCGGTATATTAAACGCGCCTAACCAGTGGAAATTCTAATATAGTGCTTTAATGTGCATAATGGGAGTCAACATTGAACGGAAGGGGAAACTGGGGACGTCTGAAGCAACCGGAGTATTTATTAACGCTGCGACACAGACGAGTAAACAGGGAATGTACTTTATATTAAACCGGGCGGTCCATCGGAGCTATTAGCCTGCGCTTGCTAACGAACGCTTACAAAGGCCTAGAATTACTCATTTCCGTTTCACCGCTGAAGTTACTCGTTTCAATTTGGAATTAATTTAATTTATGACTATTTATAACATTACAAACAATAAAAAAAATTAAGGTCTTTTTTCTGTTACCTATATTTTATCTCTATAAACACTTGACGTAAGTATGATATTAATAAACTAGTTAGAAATATATAAAATAATAGAACAGTCGTTTATCACTCTCAATTGGGTTTTGATGCAAAGCGTTGATAAATGCATTTGAAAAAAGGAATAGAAAGAATAAGAATTTCGTTTGAAAAACTGCATTTAAATGTTTTATACAGAAGCATTTGTAGATTTGTTTTTTTGGCGTCTGTTGTTTTGTTATTGGCAAATATTTGTTGGTATGTGTTACTCTGCTCTGAATTGAGCTTTTTTATCCCAAGAAAAAAAATCAAACCTCTTTGGCTATCGCGATATGTTATCTTTCGATATGGGCTCCATATATTTATCACCACCACTCTTACTATAAACGGATGCTATTTTAGTTAACTAAGAAAACTTTTAATTAGCTGTGGTTTTTAAAACCTGTTGAAAAAAATAAAATATTAATCTTAACGTTATGTTTGTGGTATGTCTCATAATTTTTTTAGTTTCTTCTATATCATATTGCAATATTAATTACTTTGGCAAGTTCTCTATCAATCACTTCTGTTAATCAGTAATTCTATGGTGCGTCGGTGATCTCTAATGAAACCGCTTCTGTTTATTCTGCCGATACGAAATGAGAAATGAGTGCAGCAAACCTTAACAATCGCTGCTCGCGCCATATTTGATGTCTGGATATTAATTTTGACTTCGGTCTTAGAGGCCTCTGCCGAATTAATATCATTTATGAGAGGCTTCCATTTACATAGAACATGGGTGATTGTTATTAATTTGAATCAACTTGTTATGATGAATTTGTGTTTGTATTGCGAGCGAGGCATTGAGAGAGCAAACTGTGTCAGGTCTAAGCAGATCTATGCTGAGTAAATATAAGAAGTAATGTCTGTTAGATTGCTAGCGGTCCGCGATCCGAGCGAGGCCGCGGCGCAATCCGATGGATTAGGCCCTCAACACGCACCCTAGAGCCGACTCCTCTATTTATGTTTGGTTCGCAACAGAACAACTTGTAGGCTCTTTATTACAGCTGTTCTTTTCCGCCCACACCGCCATACCACCGTAATAAATTTAGTTTTTTATTTGTCACGACAAATATTTTTGTAGGATGTTTTTTAATGATGAAAAACAATAGCAATTGACTAAATTAACAAACGTAAAATAGGAAAGAATAGCGATGGCCTGTGGCTTTGGTGTCAGCATGCGATTTGAGATCACAGTTTTGAATCCGTTCTTCAAAAATTTCTTTCTTAAATAGTTCTCACATTCGTCCTTCACATTTTTAGGCTAAATAAACTAAGTGAAAAATATATTTGTGATAAAACAGATATCTGAGCAAGTTGCGACGTTCATACTTGATAATTTCTAACCCTCCGAATAACAAGTTAAGGATCAAAGGTATTTCACGATGGCAACTCCAGTATAAGCTTTATTTCTTTTACTTTCTATGTATATGTCTCCAAAATATAATAATTTATCATAAATGTTACGGGAGCCATTTAAATTCAACTAAAAATGTCGATCACCTTTATCCCATAAAGTATAAGTAATTCAGTGTTTAATCAAAACTTAAAACAGCTTTTTGTAACTAACCTTCTTGTCCTTCTGCATGTTCTAAGAGCCCCGTATCTATTTCAGATGTTCTGAAACGATGGCATGAGCGGCCCGAGAATGGAGCGGGCAGGGCGGCGAGCTAAGGCGGGCTCGTTGAGCGGCCTCGCCGGTGGCTTGGGGCCCGTGGCTGGTGGCAACGTTCGCCGCCAACGCTCGCTGGAGTGGACTGGCGACCGCTACAGCAGCAGTGACGACGAGCCAGCCCAGCCGAAAATAGCAGACCGCGTGTTCGCCTCCCTACTAGCGCAGGCCACGCAGCAGTTCGACAGTGAGTAAACTTTGTAGCCGACTGCGGCGGAAAGAAAAAGGAGATTAATGTTTTGTGACCTGTATGTATTTTAGTTCCTCGTTACCTTGATGCAACTAAACGAATGTTATGTCGCTAGGTTCGTCTTTATTTCTCAAGTTTTACTGGGTATAATGAAAAGGAGGATTTTAAGCTAAATACTTATGTGTCCAATACTTTGTTTGTTTTTTTGTAGTTATTTGGTTTTTTTACGTTTTTATTCAATTATTAACTTACTTTAAGATTAACGGGAGCAAGTATGTAACAAATCAAGTTTGTGCGTTTGGCAGTCGAATATCTAAAGCGATTTCTTAAAGAAGACGGTGTCAAATGAAAATTCAAAAACCAATACCACTGATATGTATTCGCAATATTAGTGTTTGCCAGTGTTCTGTCGGCTTTTATAGATTGGGCATGGTTGGCCAAGAAGTCGGGAATAAAGACTGCTACGCCAAGTTACAATCATAAATGTTCTAATGTATTATTAATATATATTATAAATTCATTAATCTAACGACATTCAATAATACGTAACGTGGGCCACTTAATAGCACATAAGTATATATTTGTCAAAGGGAGCTATGAGACGGGTTGATTGTAGTTTAGATTGCTTAACGCATAATATTATTTGCTTATAATGGTTTTTTTTAATTTACTTATTTGGAAAAAATAAGTTTAATATAACAAAAATAGTAAAAGAAAACCCAGTGAGAAATTCAGACAGAATTAAAACAACACATACAAGCATCACAATTTCAAGTATTCATTGATAATTGTTTTTGCATTTATTTAGGGAGTTATACTTCGTAAAATTGCATTATTTAAAGGGACACATGCAACATGTATATCGTAAGACTGAATATCATTTTAAACTATCATAACGGTGTAACTACGTCTGACGCTTGTTGCAGCGTTATTATATTTTGGCTTCTCATATATCAAAGGCGCCGCGTAGCGTCTGCTACGAGCTACGGCGTAGCCCGGATTAGCTTGAAATTTGTTATTCACCGTGTGACACGGTCGAAGGTCCGCGCTGAGCCCTAACAAGTGGCATCATTAGTGTAGCATTTCGGGCTAAGGGGGGCGAGTTGGGTGGAAAGGGGGGAGGGGGTCGGCAATTGATAGGGGAGCGCCCTGCGGTGAGCTTATGAGGAAAACTTTATACGTAAACTCTCCACAACCTCCGCTTGCCATCTTTCTGTCAACTAACTAAGGATATGATGAAGTTTAAGATACTACTAACGCTTTGTTGCTTAATAGAATACATATAACAATATATTAATTTTCTGTTAAGTCGATGGGATAATCTACCATTGACTGACAAATTCATCTGTTTGAACCTGTGTTTCCTATGTTATGGGATATCAACAATATGTCTATATCCACAATCAATATTTTTCGAATACGATGTGGTCGAAGATGTCTACCATATTTTGTGGAAATGAGCCGTGTGGGAGACAGATATTTCTGTCTCAAAATATTTCGGCTGCATTTAATGTTGGCTGGTGTAACAGTGTTTTATCTCTGCCTCTTTCAGCGGAAGCCAAATTACTGTACCGGCTGACACAAGCAGGAATAAAGAACCGTGTAAATACTTGTTGATTATGCTATTGTTTAATATTATCGTGTTATTTAATATTGTATTTGGTTATGGGGGTTACGTCTTCAATTGTGGACTGTCCCCCTCCATTAAATAAAGAAAAAAAAAAAAAAACAATCAATATTTTTCTAATCACACTGCAAATATGATGAGGTTAGGAAATTTAAATTGTTTTGAGTTTTATGGTTAATGAAACAATTCAAAAAGAAAAAAGATAATGAAATAAAGTTTTATGGCTTAATAATACTTTGAATACAGTTTTTTGTGAATGTATTAAACATTTTTTAATTTCTACATAAAACTGTCGTGTTTTTTCACCACTGCTAAGATCCTGCACATACGGATTACGTATCCAGCCGTTCTAGCCACTAAGCTAAGCCTTCGACATTCCCAATGTATTTATTATCTATCTACTTTACTTTATTGCATTTTAAGCATAGCTCGGTATTATCTATTGTATTTTATTTATAGTGTGTACACTTTTTCGAATTTAATTTTTACAAGGTATAAGAGCCGTGATAGCTCAGTGTCCGGGCGCTCGCCTTTAATTCAATATACTCGAGCAACCTGAGTTCGATCCCGGTGCCGGCACCAATGAAGTTTTTAACTTTAAGTGCTGACTTAGCACGTGCTCCGCGGTGAAAGAAAACATCGTGAGGCAACCTGTGATATGTGAAGTCCGCCAATCCGCAGTAGGGCCGCGTGGTGAACTATGCCTTGATACCCTCTGTATAGAAGAGGCCTTTGCCCAGCAGTGGGACATGTATAGGCTGTTACTTTAAGGTATATTTTAAAATAGACATGCCGTTTTTACCATGTAAATTTAATTTTGGGGTTCCGTACCTCAAAATGTAAAAAATACAACCCTTATAAGATGACTATCTTCTCCGCCTGTCCGTGTCACCGCCGATTTTCTCAGGAACGGTTGGAACTACCAAGATGAAATATACAGCGTGTCGTTACAACCGCGACAATAAATGAACAAACATATAGAGGATAAATTTTTAAAATTGTATTAAGCATTTACATGCTTTAAACGTCAATATTTACAGAGTTATTAAATTTTACAAAACAAACACCCTTACGTATAAAACTGTATAACGTAAAGTTAATTTGTATAGGTCACAAAGCATATTGTGTTGAATGGGTTGAATGGGTTGAATGAATTTAAAAGAGATAAAACATACTGTTAGAAGGCAAGACTTGTAATGCGGCGTTGTGGCAACGAATGAAAACGTCTCTGAATGTATGAATCAATCAGTTGTAGTTGTACACGTGTTAAAAATTTTGCTTCTTTTTTATTTAATTAGTTTGTTTGAAAAATATATTTTTTTAATTACGGATTTTCTTAAACGTTTTATATTTTTTATGATTATTGGCAAGTAGCGTTAAACGTGTGTTCATTTATTGTTGCGATTGTAACGACACGCTGTATACCAGATACTGAGGTTATCAAACTGAAGTACCCTATAGGTTTTGCGTCAAAAACCTACAAGGTTGTTCCCGTTGCCCTAGAATCACGTTGGGCGGTACAACGGTACGGAACCCTCGGCGCACGAGTTCGACTCGCACATGTTAATTCTAAGTGCTAGTCTCTGCACATTGAAACTTAATAATGTGTATTTTACGCATTTTATTTTTTATTTTTAAATATTATTTTTTTTTATTTCTGTCATCATTATTATTTCTGTCACTCTTATCTGAAATCCTTCGTATACAAATAAAATGTAATATAGCTCCCATTGAAATCGCTTTGCCAGTCTCTTAGCATTAATATTGCAAATCGTAAAAGCATTCCAAGTTCGATGAGATGGAAAATGTCAAGAATCTCAACGCTATATGAGTTATTAAATGAGTTTTATTATTAAACATATCCATTTAAGAGTAAGTTATACATTTATGTAATATGGAAACCAACAAATTACGTTTAATCTTCTTCAGTGTTTTGTGATATTGAAACCAATAAATTTCCTTTAATAATCTTCATTGTTTTCTTCAATTTAATAAAAATTAAAAGATAAGACGAAGATATGTAATAGTCAATGTGGAATTGTGCCCATATGTACCCACTTAATACGTTAGTTATGAATATGTGTTAAAATAATAATACATCAATAGTTTAGGCTAATAACGGTTAATTTTATGTTTTCAGTTAATTTTATATTCGAAATATCTTAACTCGAAATTCCTCCTACTGGAAAAATTATATACCGCTGGAAATAAAACCCCCTTAATATGAACTCTCATGTTTCGTAAGAAGCCAATTACTTGTTATTTTCGACCGCTATTGACATGAATGCCTTTGAAAGTAAGCGATTGAACAGTACCTGACTGGTTATCTCTGAATATTGAGTAGATATTAACAAATGTTCTAAAGTCAATTCAAAGTTAAGTTAAAGTTGTTTAGTTTTAATATTGAGCATAGTATAAAAAGTTAAAAATTCTGTTATGTAATATTATTATAAAAAGAAATGCTGTAAGTATTTTTGTTAATATTTAGATGTGTAATAGTGTTTAGATGTGTATTAGGACATAGTTGAAGTGCAGTAAATGATTTTTTACTCATATATATTTAGCTACTGTAAACGCCTTATGTAAAAGTTTCTTTTTCTTTTTTTTACCCAAAAGTGGCAAGTGCTTGACGACTTTCTAATTTTATATCACAATAAATGATGTTCATTTGGTTTACTATGTGCAAATAAGCACTTAGTTGACGATTGACTCAATACAATAAGGCCGAGTGCACACAGCCTGCGCGGTCAATTCGACAATTACGGCTTTATTGGGACCGGGTTATTTGTGCATCGGAACGTTAAGTGTACGAGTACAATACGATACGTACGTTTGTAAGTGTTCACGCGAACGTTTGTTCGAAAACGATTCCAACTTTATTCGAAAAAAATGCTTCACAGTTCAAAATTCAATTACTAACGTGCTTCGAACTTGAATCACCTATTACATTTTAAAATAAAGTTACGTTTCATTTTGTTCAAATATCGTTTCCTTTGCTTAAAATAACAAAAAGTGTGTTTTTACAAAAAAAGGGCGATCAATATTTAAATTTGATTAAAAATTAAATTTTATTAAATTTGACATTATATACATATATATGTATATATACATATATAATATCTTTATTCAATATAGAAGAATTACAACATTTACTTATCGATTGTCAAAAACACTACATATATATCATATATATATCATATAACGGAAATTATACTAAATTTAGACGAAATTTAAAACGAGTCGGATATCCCAAATTATATCAAATTAGACAATTAGATCAAAGTTAGTTTTTTTCCGAATTGTAGTATTTTTGACAATCGATAAGTAAATGTTGTAATTCTTCTATATTGAATAAAGATATTTGAATTTGAACTA